TTTACTTGTAAACAATGTAACCACCCAGGGGCTTACACAAGCAAAGAAACAGTGGCACTGGCAGAAAATGTGTGTCTTTGCTTATTACATTTATAAAACACACTTTACTTTGGTAAATACAATCTGAGATGAACCTCACCACATGACACATTACGCTGTGTCATTAATTATTTAACAAATTTATTCCAAAATGCAGAAGCAGTGCATGAAAAACAAAATATATACTTATTGCCTCTATTGGAATTAGGATGGTAAGTAGCATCCATGTACTAGTAATCAAACAGTCGATAAACTGATCATCAGAAAGTGTGAGTGCCTCTACCAAAGCAGATGTTATTGCAGTTTGCTGGTCTGGAGCATTCAGGGGCGTGTTAACACAATGCCAAGGAGGAAAGACATCAGCAATGATCTCAGAGGAGCAACTGCTGCTACCCAGTCTGGGAAGGGTTATAAGGCCATTTCCAAACAATTTAAGGCCATCATTCTACAATGAAAAATATTATTCACATGTAGAAATCATTCCAGGCAGTTGCGAATCTTCTCAGAAGTTGATGTCCCAGCAAATTCACCCCAAGGTCAAACTGTGAAATGCTCAGAGAAAAGGGCCTCAGTTAGCATGTAAAATGTTAAAGTTTTTGACAGCACAATCAGAAAAAGACTGAACAAGTGTGGTTTGTTTGGAAGGGCTACCAAGTGTCAAGCATGGTGGTGGAGGGGTGATTATTTGGGCTTCTTTTGCAGCCACAGGACCTGGGTACCTTGCAGTCATTGTGCTTGGCTGAAACTGGGTCATATAACTGAACAATGATCCTCAAGTTACCGCAAGTTATTGCTATTAAGGGTTTCTATAAGCTACTGCATCATGAGGTCTACTTAACTTAACAATTCTATGGTTCTGCATTCTGTCTTAGTTTTGTTAAATAAATAATGACATGGAGTAATATGTCGTATGTTGTTGTTCATCTGATGTTGTATTTACCTAATTTTAAGACCCAATTGTTTATTATATCCTGATATGTAAAACCTAAGAACTGACAGAGGGTGTATTATCCTTTAACATTAGTGTACATGCTAAACCTAGGAAAAACAGGGGCTCTAACTGAAAAAAATGTCAGCATTGTCACTGACAGTTATAGCACAGCATGACCATTTTTTTCATACATTTTTGTACATAGCAGAGGTATGACGTCCAAAATCACAACCCTGAAAAATGCAATGCAAAAACACCATAAACACGATTAAATAGAAATAACATCATAGACGAAAATACAGAGCAGAATACAACTCTGAAAAGTGAAGCCAGCGCACAAGTTTCTTAAACTTGCATTTTTTCTAATGGCCAGCAGGGGGCATCTTCTTCGTTTGCAAATCATATAGATATATATATATACTGCATATGGTTTTCAGGGTTTTTATCATTAACTCGATTTCCCCAGGTTTTTTCCCGTGTGTTATGAATAAATATTCTTTTGTTTGGTACCGGTTCTGGTTTTATTTTGTTGTATTCATCTGCAGCACCTTAAAGGCCAGTCCGTAAAAATATTGTCGGACACAAACCGGTCCATGGCGCAAAAAAAGGTTGGGGACCGCTGATATAGACACCCAGGGGAAACAGTTCTCCTGTTCTTTTGATCTATTGTATTGTATTGTATTGTATCTTTATTTCAGACATATACAGAAAAAAACAATATATACACAAGTACACATACTTGCATTTACAAATACAAATATATATGTAAATACACACATGTATGTGCTCAGATAAAACAAAAAAATAAAATAAATAAAATAAAACAAAGTCTAAATGACATGAAATGACAAATCTATGATGCCAAAAAGACTAATCATTACTTTTACATCATACTGAGTACAAAAAAAATGTTCAGTTTTATAAATTATGGTCCAAGTAGCATATGCTTTAGTATGGTCTTATTATAAATAGCAATTTACTACCATACGAGTGTGTGTTATCCCTCGGATTCTAAGTCACCTCCCCTCCTTACTCAAGACATCCAATTTTAAAAACACCACGAAGGCCTCAGACAAACTTCCTGGCATTAGGCTTCAACAGGGGACTTCGCGAATCAGTAGGTGATGTCATTGTGGCTATGTCCATTTTCTTATAAAGTCTATGAGTAGCAGTTGAAACAAAGTTGTTTCAACTGCTACAATTATTTTAGAACAATTTTTTTTCTTATGACTAAAATTCTTAATCTCTGTGAAAATAATGGGCAAAAGTGATTATTAAAAAAAACATAATGTCTGCCAAGCTGACTGACTGACTGACTTTCATTTTTTATTCTATGCTCTGCAGCTGCTCGGTCCCGCAGTGAAAAAGGCCCATTGTCCATGACGCCCAAGGTGCCAAAATGTGTAACCACGGCAATTCTCTGGCTACCCACCAGAAAAAAAGGAAGTAGGCAGACAAGAAGAATGAAAGGTAAGATATGCTGGTAGGAGAGCAGTGTAAGTGAAATGGAGGATATGTGTGTATGTGTGTCTATGTGTGTGTGTTATAACTAAGATGTGATATAGTGAGATAACATGAATCAAGTGGAGAAATGAATGGAGAGGCAGAAGGTGAGACAGTGAAATACGACACTGTCTCAACGACACTGAATGGCACAGAGAGAGAAGAAATGTAAGGCAAGGAAATTCATTTATCAGTAGGAGTTCAGAAGCACATGATCCATAATCCTTCTAGAGAATATTAAAAGACCAACTTGCACTGGAATTCCTAACAGTTTTAAAGGTTCCCTTTTTAACAGCCTGAAAAACAGCATCTGAATGGACATCAAGAAGTAAATAATTGGAAACTGTTAGTATCTTTAAATCTTAAACTTTCCCTTTAAGACTGACTAGCAGATGTATCCACTCTAGGTTTAAGTGCTCAAATGTCTGGCAGGCTGGCTAGCACGGAGCAATAATCACCCACTTACACACATACACACTCACATTCACTCTAAGACCCTGCTGGGCCGAGGAAAGCTGAAGACGATGATGTCATGACATAAACAATAGCTCATTCAGCTTGGCGCTGGTGGTCAGGAAGCAAGACTGTGCCTAAAGTACTACATCTGTAGACTGGTAAGGAGAGGAGAAAAGAAGAGCAGAACTGACATTCAAAATCCTTCATTCATCCTGTAAGTCATACCAGAGTCTGAGCAAATCCCAGCAGTTAGCTGAGCAGATAATGTCAAAGGTCTGTGCATCTATTTGGCATTCCAGTATGTTTCTAACTGCAGGAACTGTGCAAGGGGGAAGAGCTGATGAACACGCCACAGGGACTGTGTGCACACCAGCGAGGGAGACCTATAGCCAAAGTTCAAGTTACATGTTTTCGCCATATGGTTTGCGTTACTGCTTCTCCCTTCAGTGGCTCTACGTTGTCTCCTTCAACCCATTTTACTACTATTAAGGTAATTAATTGTAAGAAAGTCATGTCAGCTGTTACCGTGTCCCCACAATCCCTCCAGGTCTGGCTTCATGTAACAATGTTACATGTAAAATTTCTGTGTATTTATGGAATTTAATGGAATCTGGTCAAATGAAATGTACTTGATTCGTATACATTCAGTTTATATCAAGCATATTTTCCTTAATGATTAATTATTTGGATAAATAAAGCTTTGATTTTATATATGTGTATTATGATAATAGCTAGAGGTCCATGAAGTACACGGAGCTCATGGTAATTTGGCACACACATCTAAGCTCTGATAAAACCTGCAACTGAATCAACTTTACATCCACTCAAAGTGTCACAGTTTAAAGGCTAAAAATGTGCTTTTGTTCAGCATGGTATTTCGCTATAACCAAATTTGAACATCAATATCATAAAATATATCATAGTTTCAATACCAAAACTCCACCAAGTTAATGTCTGTGACATTAGAGAGGCAGAAATAAGCATTATTACCATGATCTGTTTCCTTCATAGTGAACCAATATATCAGGTTCCAACCCAACCTGTTACTGGTCAAAATGTCAAAAATGTAATCTTCATCAAGAACGAAACTAGTTCTCTTTGTCAAAAAGCCCAACGAGTTTGTTTTTTCCTGCTCACACAAGTGATTCATTATGCTGACAGGCTGCCATGGATCTTATCTAGTGTAACCCTCCCATAGAAAACCACCACACTCCTCCTAAAATTTGAGTTTCTGTTCAAAAGGTCTTCTGTCATGATGCATAAACCTCTCATTTGACAGTACTAAGGTTATCTCTCTCTATTGTATCCTTTAAGCAAAAGAGGTTGGAGAGAGCAAATAGTCGAGCCACAGTCTGCAGCTCTGGTGAATAAACTCTGTATACATTTACCAGAGGCTCCTCTCATTTCAAATGCAGCAGTCCTGCTTTAACAGTCCCACTGGTTTCATCAAAATGTTAAAGCTTCCTTGTATTGCAACTTTTTGTTTGTTCAGTTTGGCTTAATGCAACATTTGTGTGAATGCAACATTTTTGCTGGAGTGCACAAAACTGTGCAGCCATGAACACTGAAAGACTCAGTTCCTTTATTTTCCAAAAATATGAACATTTTAAGCTAAGTAACGCATGCCTACATTTGTTGCTTCCATCATGGTTATTGTTTAAAGAACTGTGTCAGTTTGCATATGTGGAAAGAGGCGGGCTACCTCTTTCCACCCCAACCAGCCCTCCCTGTCCACCTCTCTAAGGACCTACAGCTGGGCTTCACTTGTTCACGCCACCTACTGGTTAAGCCAAGGTCACGTTAATTACACTTGAGTAAGACATCTGCATAAGGCTTCAACAACCACATAACCTGGAAGCTGTCATCAGTCATTTAAATATTCATTAAACTGTGTTTAACATTGAATGTGTAAAATGACCAACCCACCATGCAAAAACATCCTCATTTTATATAAATTCTTTAATGTATTACACCATATTTTCTCAGGATTGTCATATTTACTTTTTAAACCAAATTCATCCCTTTAGAATAATGTTATTTGGTCCACACATGGAACTAAAGTAAAACTTACCTGACAGAGTTAATCATATCTCCCTGGCAATTTGTGTGATAGCCATTAGGAATGGCCCAGCGTCCAGGCTGGCTCAACACAAACTCTGATCTGCTCCCAGGTATGGTGGTCCTCAGCGGGCTTCCTCCTACTCCAGCCACTGCTCCAGCACTGTCCCCAGCCCCGAGTTCAGGCCCTGGGGTATCTGTTCCAATCTCAGCCCCTTCTTGCTCCTGAACTGTTGCCAACTCAAGCTCCAGAGGTTCAGGACCTTGTAACAGTGCCCTCTGTTGGATGAGCGGTGTCAGTGGCGCCTCAAAGCTAACACAGCTGTCTGTCTCATCTGTGAGTGACAGAACATCCAGAGAGTCCAGGCTGCTGTAGCAGGTCCCACCCCTGAGCAGGGCAGATTCCACGATGCGCTCAAATGTGGAGCTGAAACCATCTTTGTTGTCCACCCTACTTTTCTCCCTCTCCTCCTCCAACTCTCTCTCGTCTTCCTCCTCTTCATCCTGAATGTCGACCTGCTCGACAATCTGTTCAAAAGCTGAGCTGAAACTGTCCTGGTTTTCTCTGCCATCACCTTCTTTTTGGACCTCTTCCTCCTCCTCCTCCACTTCGGTGTCAGCCTGTTCTACAGTTGTCTCAAAATTAGAGCTGAAAGTGTCCAAGTGTGTTTGTATCGCCCCCTCATCTCCTCCCTCGTCCTCTTCACCTACTTCATCTTCATCGTCATTCCCAGTTATACCATTTGCCAATCTATATCAACAGGAAGAAAAGAAAACATCTGACCTACACGCATGAAAATGGATAAAAATATGCAAAAAAGATCAGTCATCTTGTTCATCTAAAAACACTGTGCTATTTACTACAATATGATACAAAAGCATCGCTATTTCATCCCTTTTTTTAAAAGAAAAAGGTTAGATGTACTTTGCTTTCAGTATGTCTTTATCATTCTGCATAGTTTTTGCTTGTCATATATGAATCTGCTAATTAGCAGGCACATTTTTCTTCCACATGTTGAGCTTTTTACAGACTGCCCTCCACTAATGTCTTTCTGGGACAGTTGGGGAGCTGGGAAATGGTTGCTGTGTCCCTTAGCTCTTTAAATATTTTTCTTCCATTTTTTCAGCTCATTAAGTTGAGGCTTATTGACTATTTATTTTGTAAAATATGAGTAAAGCACATTAGGCTAATTATGTACAAAGGGAACCGCAGAGATAAAACAATTTAACATAAAAAATATTCAAATCACAAAGCACAAAAAACATTGACCAAAAGTGACACTCTTAGGTTATTATAAAAATATAAGGAAGCTGTGTTTGTCTTTTTAGCAATGCAAATTAACAGGCAACATGACACTTGCTTGCTCTGACAGGTAAAGTGGTACAAATACAATTTTGTCCACTAACCGGCCAGCTTGTTGAGAATTAGTTGCCTCCTCTTCTGTGCATGGGTGAATTTCTTCATTTTCCTTCCCCTCCTCTTCCTCTTTCATCTCCTCCGCCTCATGTGTTGTCTCCTCCCCCGTTAAGCTTTCCTCCATATTTATACATCCTCCCCCCTTCGTCCCTTCCCTCTCCCCCTCCGCCTCTCCTTCTGTCAGCTGATGCTCATCCCCGGCCCCATCTTCACACTCCTCTTTCAACTCCCCTTCTCTTCTATCACCTTCCACTTCCACCATCCCTTCTACTTCTTTCTGTGTTTCCCCCTCCTCACTTTCCCTGACGTCTTCTTCTTGTTTTCCTTCGTCTATCTCATCCTTTGCTCCAGCATCCACCTTGTCCTCATCTGTCTTGTCATGTGTCTCTTTGGGTGGGTCAGTAGTGGTGCTTGTACTGGGCTCTACTGGGTTCTCTGGTGGGGTGGGAGAGGGCAGAGCCTGCCCCTCCTGGGTCATGGTGCCCTTCCCTGAAGGGGATGGGTGACTCTCCACTTAGACAAAAGATGCAGATTAAACCTTAAATTTGGATGTATCCTCTGCAGAGAAAAGAAGAAAAGAAAGATACAGCACCATGAACCAGAGCAGTCATTTGATTATTTCTCTTATGACCTCTGCGCTTTCCTCTGCAAGTCACAGAGGTCACTCTTAACAAAGCAGCAGCTGTGCATACGTGTGTTTTTAGGTGTGCAAGCCAGTGTTGGAGAGAGATATACAGTATATGTTGGAACATTATGTCCTCTGCAGCAGATGATCCCAAAACAGCTCTGAAAGGAGGGCGACGAACAGCAGAGGAACACAGGCAGGCACAGAGATTCTCGGCAGATTCCTTATAATAGTAGCTCCTCTTGATCTCCATGGAGATGCCTGCCTTCAATGCACTTAACCCTGTGAGGTCCAAGTCATCAACGGCAACAATCCCAATCACATCCTCTAGGCCCTAATCCTAATCTTATGTTAGGGTCAGGGGTTGATTGATTGATTTTCTTTTGTCCACTGATTATCAAGACTTGGGAAAACAATTTTTACTTAAAAAAAACAAAACAATCACATGTTCTGACAGCATAGTGTTAGGTTCATCACTGATGATGGCTTACACACAGTTAATGCATCATAGAACTCTGTAAACGTATTGTAAAGGTCTGCTGCTGATCTGTTAGCCCTCTGTTTATATTCACCTTTCAGGAGTTTATGGGCAAATGCTAATGAGCAGCTCTCAGAAACAGTTCCTGTTGTAAAATGTTGAATAATGCAGTTGTTGATGTATTTTTCTTATATAAATTATATGGAGAGAGACTTAGTGAGAATAAAAAAAATATACATTTATCTTTTTTGAGAACCGATGAAATGATGGCGTGAAATGGTGACTAAGAGAAATATGAATAATTAATGAATAATTAATCGTTTCTTAGTCACTGTTAAGCAAAGCTTATTTGGTTCCAGCTTCTCATATTGATTGTCTTTCTCTCATTTAAAGTTAGTTTGTTTAGGCTTTGGATTTTTAGTTTCACATAAAGTCGAGCAACTTTAAAGCTCAGTCTTTAAGATTCAAAGACTGAAACATGAACGTCTATGACATGAAAGCTGGATAAGCTTCATCAGTTGAGGGAGTTTGTGTCATACTGAACAGCTCCAGAACAGCTATTTATTGGGCCAAATGCTGTTTCCAAGATCAAGAATATTTGATTATGTTTTTATTGCTATGTTGTTCTATGTGTCAGTATCATAAAAAGGGCTGCCAGGAAGCAGCCCTGCCAGTCTGCTCATGCTCTACTGGTTCTCTGCTTTGCTGAATCATCCACAGCTTGGGAATTGCAGCACAACTGCAGTAAAATATTTAGTGGAATTCATAGCTTCCTCTGATAGCATGCAGATGTAGGTAAGGGTCCTGTTAGGCCAAAATGAACATCCATATCTGGATTCTGGTTTCTCAGGGGAAAAATTGTCTGCCAAACTGTGCAGAAAAAAACTGAACCATTTTAGAGAGGACAAATTTATGGCAGGCTAGATAGTGAGCCAAATTTGTATCTACAAGTATGATGTTGGAAGTGCTTTGGCTTACCCCTGAGCATGAGGACACCACAGGCCCAGAAACTGTTTCATCAGAGTTGCAAAAGGATGATGAATTTATGGAGAGTTCTCCCCTTACTAAAGTTGAACTTCTTTGAGTTTTACTTATGTTGTCACACAAATGCAAGCTGGAGCTCTCACTCTGGGAGTGTTATTGTAGACACATTTAAAAGACACAAATAAGAGTGCATCTTGCTTGTCGCATTTCATTCTGAAAAGGCGAAGACAGTCTAGTGTCGCAGCAAGAAATGCAGGTAAACTTTTAAAAACGGAACAAAACACAACACAGGCACAACCAGGCACTGTGTCTCTGCTACTGTAGCCTCCTCTAATCCTCATCCTCTCTCTGACTGCTGCTGCGATGATCTCAAAGGACCGACAGATTTCTGAACAAAGTCTTTCTGAGTACACCATCGGTGACTGGCCGACTCATTTTCTTTTGTTTTTTTGTCTTTTACTAGAAGGATTATGGGAGTGGTTTGCATTATTCATAAGTCACCAGATTGTTTCAAAGTTCCATCCATGAAAACATCATAGTTTTCACAAACAAGACATTTAAAACTCCATTATAGCACACTATGAAAAGTGTATCTCACAAACTAGTAATGAATCTGAAAGCTTCTTAGGCCTCAAAACATTTTTGGATGAGAATTTGCTGACCAATCTCTACTATAATGAGCTTGAATATTCCCAAACTGGGGTGCTCACATTTCCAGCGGGGCTTTATGGATTCCATATTCATGTATGAGTATGAGGCATATGAACAATTTGCATGTATTTATGCTACTCCACAAAGTGGAATTTGCACATATTATTAAGCAGTGAAATGCACACACGCACACACGTAGACGCACAAATAAAGCAGTGAAACATTTCCATAAATGGAAGCAGTGAGCGGTTATGAAACCAGACACGAGAAGTGGGAATTCTCCGTCTCTCCCTCTCTGCATGTCTCCGGTGTTCTGTTTTTCTCCCACTCTGTCTTCCTCATCTGTTCACCATTATGCTTTCTGCTATCTCACAGTCTAACTCTGCACTCTCTACCACTCATTTTGCAGTAATTGAGGTAAATGGGTCTTATCCAAAAGAGGGGGTGGAGGGAAGAAGGATAGTGGAAATGAGCAGCACTATGAATCCGGCTGCTGAGGAGAGACAGAGCAGATGTGCTCAGACACCCCACATGGACAGATGAAGAAAAGACAGCCTATAAGAGTGAGACTGTGTGTGTGTGTGTGTGTGTGTGTGTGTGTGTGTGTGTGTGTGTGTGTGTGTGTGTGTGTGTGTGTGTTTGGGGGAGCGGTTATCAGATGGGGTATGTGTGTGTCTGTGTGTCTCTGAGTCTTTGTGTCTCAACATATACAATGGCTATCAGGATGGATGCATGCATTCCACTTTTGTCAGCAGAACACTGGGGCTCTTAACCGTTATCAATTTCCTTTAATTGTGATCAGACAACCTGCCAATCATGTGACCAACGTCTAACATCTAAAAGCATGCCATCGCCTAGACTTATAACTCACCAATCCAGTGAGAATGATGGATAAAAGACCAAGTTGCCATTAAATAGCTTTTCTTCCCTCTTGTGCCTTTTATATCTCTCTATCTGTCTACATGTGCTTCTGTGACACACACACACACACACACTGCAAAGACTGCACATAGACATACACCGTGGTGTGATTTATTGATCTCTGAGACACAGAGCTGCAGTCCAATGGGAGTCTCTGGTGATAAGCATGACTGGTCTCTATAAGCAGCAGAGAAGCAACTACTGAGATAATAAGAGTGAAAAGGAAAGTGCTGAGAAGATCTTACAGAAACACAAAGCTCACAGTGGTGCTGAAGATGCCGCTGCTTTAGATCTTTAGGTTCAATATTTATTTAACTTAAATTGTACACGTGCTAAATTTTAATTGAAAAGGGAAGCCTTTGTGACTGAAAACATGGCATAATTCTGACACACCCAAGATCACATCAAACACAGACACTGACACATCGACTTATGTTTTTAAAACAAACTCCCATTCATTTAATATCTGAACAAATTACGAACAATATTAGTATAATCAATTCAGTTTTAAGAGCTATACACAGTAGTTTTTTTATCTGGTTATATCGTAACTGGTTGTTCAAAACTGGCTACAAGAGTGACTGCAAGTGTGAATGGTTATCTGTCTCTCTGTTGTGTTAGCTCAGTGATAGACTAGTCCACTCGATTGGCTATTATTTGTGCCTTTTTTGTGCTATTCTTCTAATTTAGTGGTCGCCCAAGGGTTCCCTTCTTTGTTGTTGTGTTGAGCAAGATCAGAGAGTTGTACAAAGATACTGACAGACTGCTCTGATGGAGATTCTCATGATGTATGAATGTAGCACCATGGGAACCTGCCAGTGTACGAATAAGCGCTGTTATAATGTCAATAAAAAGCAACCATGTGTAGCAACAACAGGCAAAATAACCGATGTAAAGTCAAGGGTCATAAATTAAAGTCTTCTCATCTTTGAAGCGAGGAACTAAAGCAATACTGGTGAATGACATATGAGATACATTACCATATAAATACATTACCTACACAAAGGGGGCTTGGAATATCCTCTTGCAAACTGATCAATAATTGAAAAGCGATTTGGAACAAGTAAATCATTTTATGTGTGGGTGGGACTTAAGTCTTCTTTACTGTCTCACTAATTTTATATTTACTAATTTGATAGATTTTGTTAGGTGTCCCTAACTTTACTCATTTTGTCCTACTGGTTATTTAAAGGCTATAGCAAAAAGAATACAAAATTTGAGAGTCTGGTGAGTCTGTGCTGCACACACTTTGGCAGACAAATTAGCAAACACTGCTTCCTGTACTCACAGTGGTCGGCTGGCTAATGTTAACATATAACTCAACCCCAGTGAGAAGACAGTCTGAAATATTTGCATGAATTCCCATTTGGACATTTTGAATGATTGCAGCAATAGATGTGTCGTCCCTTTCAAACTCATAGCTTCCATTTTATCAGACTTAACAGTCCTTGTCCACAATCTAAGACATTATACAGTTATATTAACAGGCTAACCTGACCTTTAAGTATAAAACTGGTTTCTCTTACTCTGTAAATACATAAAAACAGGATACTTTTGTGCCTATAAGCACAGGACTCCTCAAGTGGTGTTGCACTCTGGCCAGATTTCATTGGCAGTCACTGAATGTAATGTGATGCAGTGGAAAGGATTACCCAAGATTCTCTGGGAGTTTAACAAATGAACGAGCGACACAATAGGAAAGAAAATCAGGATACTGGTTTTCAATATGATATAAGTATTGTACTAGCCTTAACTGTTTTCTGCTCTATAAAGACTTAATCATCTTAATCCATTAATCTCTGTCTAGCTATCTCTCTATCTAGTAAATCTTTTTGGAAGCACTCCCCTGCCCGTAGATACCTCTGTTGGGCATCATTGCACCACCTTTCACTGAATTTAGATGCTGGAGCAGGCCATCAATTGATACTTTCAACTTGCCTGACCTCATTACGTTTGCAGTGCTGCCCCCGTTCATTTAATATAGAAGCATTTGTATGCAGCTCTTTTGTTTGTGCTGCGTGCCTCCGTGAGCATTTCTTACTAAAAGGCAGCACCCCAATACTGTCAAGTGGTGTGAAGAATGCAATGCTGGTGTTTCACCACAGTAGTTGACATCAAGTTGATCACCCTATTTTTTCTAAAATGTAAATTATACTATCAAAATAAATAAGCTGTTGCTATACATGTAAAAGGAACAGTACAGCCATTTTATTTTAGCTTTCAATAGAAAATCTACCACAGAGCAGCATTAAGACCACCGGGACAGCCTTCTAAATACTTTCTACAAGCTAATTAGTAATTAAAATTAATTCATGAAGCTGCCAGCTGAACATTGACAGATGATATTAGATCTGCATACTAAGAACAGAGAAGGCAAACCTCCCCTGTTCTTCCCTTCTCCTCTCTTACACTATCAGTAAGACATGCTCAGAAAGACTAGTCCTATACTATAAATGACCTACTGACCCTGTTCATAACACGTAGGCTGGGTGCAGCACTGGCCCTGCAGCCTATCCTCATACATGCACACACAGCACAGAGTCACCTTTCAAAAATGCTGTTGTGCTACAAGAACAGATGCAGAGAGGAAGAAAATAATGTCATCATTTCCTCCTTATAAGCTGAGGATGTGAAAGCAGGCAGGAAAATGTGGACTTGGAAGTGGTCCAGGGCTATTTTCTTAGCATTCATGCCTGTGCTGCAAGTCACACCAGCATTATCACAGCGCCTAAAACTTGCTAGACCAGCCCAGTGGAGCGTAACAGTCAGCCAGCTCCCTGAAATCACCCCAATATGTCACTTCTGTGCAGTCAAGGTCAACTGTCCGCTCACATTTTGTCACTCTAACTGCTTACATCTAAATACATGCTTACAATAATGTGGTGATTTATCTTGTTTTGGGCCTATTCCCCTGGGTGCTTTCACCTTCTAATACAAATTCACTCATTATTATGCACGGCAAGCATAACAGACCTTTGTGACATGTGAGTGATTTTGAAAAGTGTAGATTTAGAAACATTTGTAATACAGCTCACATACTATGGAGTAATTTCCTTAAATCCGTTGTGTAATATTTCTGAATTTAGGCTGTTATATTCAGTACTTAAACATACTTAACAGAAGGTATATAATATAGTTTATAGAATAATGGTGATAACAAATTTTCAAGGATTGAAAAAAAAATATATCCACAGATTTTAGGGGTTGTATTACTGATTTGCCTAAGCTCCCCATTTTACATTGTAATTATGTATTATTTTGGGACAATAAATTTGAATTAATTATCCTTGAATTTTTCAATATGAATAATTACATTAAAGCTTTGAATTTAAAATAGCTCATTTGAATGGCACAACCCTATATATACTTTGTAACCACTATGTAAGAAGAGGTTAGGCTACTCAGTAATACAGTCCCTAAAAGTAGTGAGTAATTACAGTGCAAGATGTGTAAATACTGTTTGGCTTTTCCTCTAAAATACCATGGTGTTACTCACTACTTCAAATTGCTTACAGTATAATTTGTTTCTTATGTCCTTTAAGAACTCAAATTGTTACCCTTATTCCACTGTACCTAGCGATAATTCTGAGTATTTGCATTGTAGGTGTTGAGATATTACACCGTAAGTCACAGGCTGTGCTATAAAGTGCTACCATAGGTTGCCGTCATTTTGGAATTTCAGTGTGTTTTGTATATGTTTAATATCTCAAACCCTATATTTACACAACATTAGTCTGAATGCGTAAAATGTTTTGTGTTTTTTCCACATCTTCTAATAAAGTCATTAGTGGGATGATTTAAAAAGAAGAAAAAGACAACAAGAGGTGACAGTTTGGTGTGGAGCTGCTGTGCTAGTGTGTCTGGATGTCTGACACCTTGAGTATGAAATTAATACACTGGAGAGCGAGCAACACGTTTGCATGGGAAGAGCCCACAGTTGTATCGGGGAAATGAATTACAATGGATCTAGACTAGACATGTAAATGGCTATAATTAAGATAATAGCGACTTTGCTTTTGGGGATAAAAAATAAGCGGCTATCAAACACCTGTTAAAAAAGAAGCCTCCCACATCCTGAAAAAGCAAAGACACAGCAGTGTCTTTGCAGAGTCTGTAATATTCCTGTATTTGGACATTATGGAAAGAATTTAGAGTATGTATGATGTTATTCAAGGTACATGTCTCATGGTTACATCTCACCTTTGCCCTTATATGTATAGGATACACTTGATTTGAGAGCTTTGGCCCAGTGTTATTTTTTCTAGCGAGTCCCCCCCAATGCACTTAAAAAGACATAAACAAACACCAGACAGACGAGGCTTATTGTTTCTACCAGTGTGTGTGTGTGCGTGTGTGTGCGCGAAGGAGAGAGAGAGAGAGCGAGAGACCACAGCGCGAGACAACCATGTTCTCCCAGCCTCCTCGAGCCAGTAACCATGACAACAGGATGGCTGGGAGACACGGTTCAAGCTCAATTGAGGCCGGTGTCTTTCTTTTCCTCCAAAATAGTGCCTTGGTCGCGTTTCAAGACCGACTTGTCCTCCTAAAAAAGCAGAGGAAAGGCTTTTCTCTGCCTCCTCTCGGGGGACACAAACACACAGACACGCACACACCTCCGTAAAATCCCACGGCCCGCACGGTGCATATCTCACAGCCTACATTAGCTCCTCAAACACGGCTTGCCGGCGCGAGGAGGCTTGCAGCCCCGCGTGAGCATTTTTGCTCCCACATTAGCAAGAAAAACAGGAAAGCTAAATACAGCCTCTGTGAGAAATGCCTCTCTCGCTAATAAACTACTAAACGGTCACCCAGCATGGGCTTCGCTAGAGACCCGCCGGTTAAACAGCGCTAACACAGTCTCACTAGGTTAATATCTTCACACTTTGACCGTTTGTCTTAAAAATAAACGTGTCGTATCTTCACTCACCGGTGAAATGCGTCCAGTCGGATGCTGAAATATGCTGGGAGTTGCGCGGCGGCACTGGTCCTCTCTCCCCCTCTCTTCCCCTACATCCACACGCCACACACTGACAGACGGGCTCTTTTTTCTCTCCCTTCCTCAGCTGCCCCCCTTCTCGCTCGCGCGCCCGACGTTGACGTCCAACCGAAGCAGCTCGTGGTGTCGTCTCGCGCCTCTGCTCAGGCTGCTAGGGGAGGTCCGGATAATTTCTGATGAATGGACGGATGAACGGAGGCGTCCTGCCCGTCTCCTCCTCACTGTGGAGCTTATGCGTGCTTTGAGTGGCAGCTGAGAAACTCTAAACCCGCTCCTCGGACCGTTCGGGAGTACCATCACTCTCCCGTGGCTAGAGCGCGGTGTGAACGAGACGTGTCTCGATGGCCTGTTGATATCAAACACTGCAGCCCGCAGTGAAGATTAGCGCCGACAGTTGTGTTGACATACGTGCTTCTCTTTGACCACTGATGATAACCTGGAGACCTGGAGCTTAGTTGCAGCTGGACCGGTGGTATTAGAGCTATAGAGTGCTCAAAGGTGGTGAAACCTTTCCCACACTAAGGTCCTGGGATCTTGGATGGCGTTACTCCCCCCCCTCTCCACTAGATATTAGAATTAAGAATTAATAGTGTGAATACAAAAGTTTGGGAACTGACCAGAAAAAGAGAGCATGTAGATGATTTACAGACATTCAGATGGTGTTGTCCAAGGTCTAAAGTCCTGCAGCTGTCATATCTGGGATGCTGCATTGGTCATGCTGAAGTTTGGTTTCAACAGGAATTCAGCAGGATGCCTGAAAAGGGAAAACATGACCTATGAAACAGTCAATAGCCCGCTTGACCCACAGTGAACCATGTTACATGAAACAGCTCAGTGTAATCATGCCAGAACATACTGTAACCTACCACACATAAATGAAAGTGAACATCCTAATGTTCTTGTATTGTGCAACTGATCATGGAAAAATCTACTTGCATTTTTTTAATTCTATCACAACAGACCACTGTCTTGACCTTTGACCTGCTTGAGTTCTGTCAGAAGTTGTTTTCAGGGTACTGTTAATCATCAGTAACAGCAGGTCGAGCGCTTTCTGTTGATCTTTGTCAGTCCCCCTTTTTTTCTAATGCTGTTTGTGCTCCTACCTCCTCTGTCAAAACTATGATTAAAGCCCACTGAGAAAAGCAATAATCCCAATTGAACCGCTAAACACGACCACTGGTTTTAAGGAATGAGCACACAGTGTCAGATAAACACTTTCTGCAATGCCTTAAATTGCCATTAATACAATGCACATGCTTTTGCCCCGCCCCATATTAATATTCATGTGTATTTGCACATTTGCATTTGTCAAAATGAGAAATTGCCAGGGAGTCTAATTTTCTTTTTCAGACTGATAGACACACCATGGTATGAAACTGTGATTGTGCTGTCAGGCTGCTGATGGTGCCTGCTCTGAGCCACATATGATCAGTTGGATTGCAGAGGATTTAACACAAAAGTGTTATCATTCTTCGTCCAACTAACAGGTAAACATTTAATGTTATCTCTCAGCATATAGTGCAAATTAGCTTCTGTTCCCGCTCTGCCCTTGACAAAACAAAGGAGATATTTTCACCCTGTAACAGCATATGTCTGACACCATTTTTCTCTCCTTTCTCTTTCACTTCACAAGCACAGCTAAATTCAATCAGGAGGCAGTTCAGACCATCAGAACTGCCTTTGTACAGTGCTCCGCTTTGACAGTACCTTCATACTAAAGAACCTCAAGGTCATGAACAGAAGCACAGCAGTAGCATCCAATCATTCATATGGCTCTGCACTGGCTGGTGCCAAAATCTTCCAATGTTGGTACTTCAGGACTCTGAAGCACGTCCCTTTCAAATGTCCAGGAGTGCCAAGTTTTACAGTAACATCTGCACAGACTGTGGAGACCTCAGTAATATCCCAGAGATCAATAGCGCATTAGAAGGAGACTGAGGAAGGAGGAGAGCGAGTGAAAAGGGTGATGAAGCGGCACAGGGAGAATTAAGAGGAAGAAAAAGAGAGAGCGATGCATAAAGCAAAAGAGATGATGATGTGGACAGAACAAAAGAGCCTGGTGTGCGTTTGAAGACAAGGGGAGGAGAAGGTTAGAGAGGGGAGGCCCATAGCCAGGCAGGTAGAGGAGGGGGTTATCCAAGGAGAAGGATGAAGAGAGGAGAAGTACAAGGGGAGGTGGGGTGTGAAGATGACAAAGAGAGTTCAGAGGATGCACAGATGACCAGAAAGAAAGAGGCACGAGAGGGAGAGAGGGGTGGAAATAGTTTGGAGGAAAACCCACTGCAGACGCAATGTCAATCCTAATTACTAATTCATTAACCTGCCCAGATCCTTTCCCCTCCCCCTCTGTAGCCACACAAACACACACACTTGCACTCCCACACATGCACTCAGTGTTCTCCGCTCGGTCCCTCCTCTATGTCCCATGAGAGGCGGACGGCTGGCGAGATGGAGAAATGAAGAGGTGTGTCTGCAGCTAAGTGACATCTGCAGGGCCTTGATGCCGGCAACGTGTTGGGAGCGCTGGAAATCCCTGATGTGACGATGGGAGGGAGGCGGGGAGGTAACTGGGGAGGGGGGGGGGGGGGGGGAGCTAACAGCTTGCACTTTAGTTTGTTGGAGCGGGTGGTCTCCTGTAATGGTGCATATGAGTGTGTTAATGTGCACGGCTGTGGTGTCAGAGTATGTTTATGCGTTTGTTCCGTCATGCATACACATGGGTGCCCAAATGTGCAATCACAAGGTGTACTGGCATGTTGAGTGTGTGTGTGTGTGAGTGTGTGCAGGTTTGGGGGAGATAAATCAATAAGCTAATGCTGGTCTGCTCAAGTAATAACATTGTGTCTTTAATCAAAGCAAGGGGGAGGTGCGAGAGAGACTGATGATGTCTGTCTGTCTGTGTCTGTCTTTAGCCCCTGCTGTATGACTCTTAGCTCTGTATGTTCGGGTGTGTGTGTGTGTGTGTGTGTGTGTGTGTGTGTGTGTGTGTGTGTGTGTGTGTGTGTGTGTGTGTGTGTGTGTGTAAGCCACCGAGGCACACACTGATGTTCTGCATCCACACACACCAGGACCTCCTGCAGCATTCCTCCGCACATGCTCACATATACAACTCATTAGGAAGATGGAGATGCAAGCATGCACGCACATGGGCACAAATTCAAGCACCCTAGGGTACACAAACACACGTACACACACACACATATCAGAAGATGCAGTGCTGCTGACTTTGGTGGAATTAGATACAGAAATCTTCCAAACAAGCATTGATCCAAGAGTTTACAGCGCCGGCCCCGTCTGCCATGTCAGGCCAAACAACAGGGAGCTCTGCGAGACAGCTGGGGAGCACTCACACACACCACACACAAGCAGGAACCACTGTGGGCACATATATGTAGCACACACATCACAGTATGTGTGTGCACATGGTGTGGCTCTTTGATCTCAGGACTTCATAGCACAGTGTGCTGGAGTGTAAACACGTGTGCATCTGTGATATCTGATATTAAATTAATACGAGTGTACACACAGATTCATTTGTGCGGATAAATAGGAAGAGTTATTTAAAAAATATATATAATATATATGTTATAGATAGATATACATAGACAGTGTGCAGTCTTTATCCTCCAAGCTCGGGTCCTCTATCAGAGGCCTGGGAACTTAAGGTTATGACACTCACTAGTCCTCGGCCCCCTTCCTTACGTTTAGCGCACAGTCTCAGGGTGCTGGGTTTGTGGTGAAACCCTCCATGCATGCTCAGAAGCTTCCTTGTCTGAAAGTCCTCCTTTGACCAGCAGGGCATGTGATCACCGGTAGGGCGAAGGTGTTGATAGCCTTGTTCTTACCATTCAGCTGATTCCTCAGGACTTGCCTTACTCTTTGCGGGTATTTGGTGATTGCAGCTTTCCAGCGGCCTCTTTGTGGCTCCCACTGGCCTGTGGGATTCCCAGGTATAATTTTTTAAAATAAAATTCCTGGGTTTTACTTATGCTATGCTTAGTAAATCTCTGATAATGTTTCAGTTTAATTCTATATATTCTATATATTTACACTTATCTAGCTGATTTCAATTAATTGAATTCAGTTAAATCCACTATACTCTACCCTTGTAGCAGTAAATCACAATGAATCACAAAGCATTAAATGTGTGAAAGTGACCATTTAATGCGTATTTCTGTGTGAATATGTATTTATGAGCATCACATGCTTTAGCAGCGGGGAGAGGGGGCTCTTTGGCTTCAGTTTGCTGTTTTGTTTCAGTTTTCCTGATACACTGCACCAAAAGGAAGAATGCCAACATTTAGCAAAGCTAGGACAGAAATACTGCTGCTCCAAGAGAATGTAAAAAAAGCAGAATATAAATGGGGGGGAAAGGCAAGCTACAAGTGTCTTATGATAATAAGACACTTATCTAAAAAGATGGTTGGAGTAAATATCATAAAGAACCAGAAATCTGTATATTTTTCAAGCGTTATCAACAGCCACTGCCACAAGTCCTGTCTATTATTTAGCATTGAAAATTCTGATCTTAACCCTCCTCAGTCCAAATGCACAGAAGCTATTTTTACATTTCTTTGTTGACGAGATTTTAACTGGTAGAGCACATATCTTACATCCTTCTTATTACCCTTTCTTTATTATCACTCTTGCAGTTTTTAGCCATTTTGTTCCAGTGTCTGTCATAACTGAGGAAACTTGTTACTCAGATCGGGCTCTCCCAATGATATCCTCCTACTTGTTTGTGTTTTTTAAAGACATTTGGGGCACTATTGGACCTTATATTCAACAATATTGGAACTTACATTCAAAGGCTTATAAGCAGCAGCCTGACTTAAGATGATGTACAATGTCTGATTGTTGTCCAGTTTCAGACCTATTTCAAGCTTCCTTTTCATTTCTAAAATTTTGGAAAAAGTAGAGATCTTACAGCTGCAGCCTTTTTTAAACACTCCCAATATTTCTGAGGTATTTCAGTCAGGTTTTAAAGCAAATCACAGCACAGAGTCTGCACTTTTGAACGTTTTTATTGGTATTTTTTTAACCATTGGCTTTGGGGACTCTGTCATACTTATGCTTTTGCATTTCACAGCAGCTTGTGACGCATTAGATCACAATGTTTTAATTTCCCACCTAGAGCAGCATGTTAGAGCCACTGCCTTGGAGTGGCTCAAGTCTAAACTGTCTGACAGAAGTCTTTCCGTTTCTCATGGTAAATGTCATTCATCATTGGCCACCCTCTGTGGTATAGCTCAAGGATTCATCCTCGGGCCTCTTCTTTTTAGTATTAACTGAGCTCTCTTATTAATAAAACACACTGCAGTCAGCTGACTTTCCACTGAATCGTATTGAACCCAGCCCCACAGTGCTGATGTTAGGATACCTCAGGGCATCAGAGCATGGCTGGTTCTCACTCTTTTAAATTTTCATGAGGTCATTATTTTTGGGCCGAGTGGCCCA